TGAGTTTATAGATATCTATATATATCTTACACACGTTCAATAAACATTTATATACAATTAATTTACGGATATTCCATGTTCTGTGGTGCCTTTGTGTTGTCCACCTTTCATTACTAATAATGAATCGAACTCAGTGCTACACTCAGGGCAGTACTGTAGTTGATCGTTTTAGGTTGATACTTTATTAACTTCTCAAAAATCACCTTAACTGTAAAAACTTCTCTAAATACATTTTTTTTTCTTTTTTAATAACAAAAATAATTCAAATTGTTTTTCTAAATAAAAAATGGGAATCAACTATTTTTTACAAATACATCAGTACTTTCATTCTATTAAATACTCAAATCAGATTTTTTTGCCATTATTGTACATTTCCCTCCAAGTAACACAAGTATATCTATTACAAAAATTATATTATCCCTTAAAATCATATGTCCATGAACATCTACAGTTTTCTATTCTCATCTAAGTAACTAAATTAAAACTAGACCTAACCAAATAGAATTCTCCCGCCGATCACGATGGCGGCAAGACGTCCGCCATTGCGATTTCGGGGGGTGTCGTGAAAAACTCATTGTATAAACTAACATTTGTTTTAAACGATATACCTACACGATAAAACCAGTGCATTAAAATAACTACACCCAAGACAACAAACAAAACAGGAAACAAAACAATATAACAATATATTAAGACCTACACAAAAACAAAGCACGCGGGAGACGTCTGGTAACGCCGTGTCAACACACAAAGAAACAATCGCATGGAAAGCTACTAGCTCCTCATGCTCTTACAACCCATAAAGAAGAGAAACTCAAATACGGAACAAAGGAATAATACCCAAAACAGTTTAGAAGTTTGAGTTGGCTAAGGTGTCCTAACGGATACTGCAGGCCAAAATAAGTGCTGCAAAGCACCATCAGAGAAAGAGAAAACCTAACCAAATAAAAAATATGTATTTTAATAATAAGGATACAAATTTGATACCTATACAATAAAATTTATTAGAAAATGTTTACAAAATTGATTACAAAAGAAGTGAAATCTCTTAAAAAAATACCTTAGGTGTATAAAAGCTTTGCCAAATACATTCTTCTTTCTTGAATTGAATTGAAAAAATAATTCAAACCGTTTTTTCTATAAAAAAAAATGGGAATAACTATTTTTGTCAAATATGTTAGAATTTTTGTTTTATTATATAATACTCAAATCGGATATTATTGCCAAATTATTATACATTTTGTTCCACATTAATACAAGTACATCTATTCCAATAATTTTATTATCATTCAAAATCATGTCTGAAAATCTAGTTTTCTATTTTCATCTAATCAAATAAAACTTGAAACTAAATCTGATCAAAAAAATGAAATTTGAAACTCAATTTGAAAACATTTTATTTGGCGAGCATTAAAATACTGACGAGAAGTCCTATGAGTTCACTTCGGATTCTCGCTAAATAAAATGTTTTCCAATTCAGTTTCTAATTTTTTTTATACGATCGGATTTAGTTTTAAGTTTTATTTGATTAGAAAAAAATAGTAAAATGTACATTTTCCCAGACATATGATTTTGAGTGATGATTCAATTTTTGGAATAGACGTATTATGTGGAACAAAATGTACAATCATTTCTATCAGCATATCAATCAATCTGGCAATAATATCTGATTTGAGTATTTAATGAAATGAAAATACATATTTGGCAAAAAAAGTTGATTTACATTTTGTATTGAAAAAAAAAAGTTTGAATTATTTTTGCACCTCAAGAAAGAGAATAATATATTTGGCGAAGTTTTTTTTACACCTAAGGTGTTTTCTGAGGAGTTAGGTGCATATTAGAACAGATCACATTGCAACAAAAGCTTCACTCTACCCCTTTGACATCAAATATGGTCATTATAATCGATGATACATTTGATGTATAAAAATCGATGTTAAAACTCGAGTCGATTTTTGAAGAAAAATGATCTTCGACATACATTCTAATACAGAAATCACTATACTTTTTCAAGTGTCAAGTTCGATACGTTCCGTCGCCTTAGCTTCCGTTCTGTGAAAGACGATTCGGAACACCGAGGAATGCAACGTCGTTTAAACTAAGTAATTTTGGTTTTATTGGTTAAACAAAATCTTTAGGGTGGAGGCATCAGTCATTGAGTAAGCAACTTGATCGGCTGTCGTCGGAAACGGGTAGGAGTATAGAAAGTTGTGCGCAATTGGCAGTAAATCAGGTACAGGGGAAGAGTAACTGAGGGATGGTGGATCAACTTTCGTTATAATAAGTTCTCCCCTTCCAGTGATCGGCGCGCCATTCCACACAACGCCCCTTCTTATGCCCATCCTCTCACCAGCGTAAACGAGATCAGGCGGAAGCGGGCGAAATAGTGGCCGAGAGGGAGGGGATGGCAAAGTCGATCGATGGACCGGTACCTACTTGCTCGGTTGCCGTTGAAAAACTTCCACCAAACTCCAATTAATCGATCCGTCAACTCCATTCATGACCCAGGACAACTTTGTTTCGTAACGACGAGTGCCGAGCGCGTCTCTTGGATGCAAGTTCTTTTCGGTACCGGTAGTTGTTCCATTTTGAAGAAAGCCTAAATACGACAGGAAGCTGGGTATATACCTGACGTTCGATCGTTTTCTTAACGAATATTATCTTCTTCTTCTTCTTCTTTACTATGAAATAACGAATATAATATTGAAAACATAATTTACGACGCTATCGCCTTGATAGTCGTTATAAGCCTGCTATGTCTGCATTCCGAGTCCTATTGCAGATAAGCATAAAGTATAAGAGTGCTTGAACCTTCATTTGAGACTTGTTAGCTGGAAATTTTAATATTCGATACAATGAGTACTCGAAAATCGTAATTCGCGTTATAGGCCGTTCGGTTTTGGAATCCAGTTAGCTGCGTTTTCCGTACCAGATACGCCTCGAGCAATTAACGTAGAACGAACATTTGGTGCTAACGCGGGAACAACTATACTAAACGCATTCAATTGAATGTCGTCAGCTGTATTCTAGTGTTTCGCGGAACCGCTACGGAATATAAACGAGGAACAGAATGGAGCACAGCGGAGGGAGAGAGAGCATCCCTTTCACTCCATAATCGTCAGGTTTTCCTCTACGACGGAGTTCTTCGGCCGAATCGTTTTTCGTACTTCTGCACGTAGTCTGGCTCGTGTTAAACTCAGCGCCGAGTAACCGGGCAGAACGCGGTCACGATCGATAGAGGCCAGGTTCGGCTGGTTTCGACGTGTTCCGTCAAGTTCCGCTATTATACTCCCTCCTACCGTTCCACTTTCTCTCTCTCTGACGCGCCCGACCAGCTACTACTATTGCTTACCAAACCTTGTATCCATGCAACGCCGCGTCGACTGACGTCGACCAACGTTCAGCAGGAACGCCTATGTGCATTTCTACGTACTACTGTGAACTACCACGCTCTATCGCGCTTCCGTTTACTTTCCGGTCCAGCATCGGACAAAAAGGGAGGTCCGAGCATCTATTGTCCTCAAGTACCAAAGGGTGGGCTTTACATACGAATACCACGGATTCTAGTACATTAAGTGATACAGTTTTCTGGATTGAAAAGATTAAACAGATCGTAAATTCTTGTACAGTACTATAAACTGAACGTGTTTTACTTTTTTTTTAAACGCCGTGATTTGTATCATTGTTTAATCATTGTAGTCATGAAACGTGAAGATGATATCGAATAATTTTCGAATAATCCTATTTTGAATAAAAAGTGACGTAAAGAAATTTGTGGCGAAAGCCTTTTTGAAATTTTAAGTGAAATTTTTTAAATATGAATACGTAATTATAACTTTAATCTCGAATGACACTTGTTTATAAAGCAAATTATTACAAATCAAAGACAGTGACTTTTCAATTCACTAAATTTATATGTTGTACTATATAAATATGTTTGTATAAGAGTATTTATAATATATAAATGTGAGACATATTTTATATCATATTTTTTATATTCACAATGGCGTGAATATAAAAAATTGTATTGACAGATAAATGATAACAGATTATAGTTAATAAAAAAACTAAAAATAAAATTAGTTTCATCAATTGATAACACCTAATCTTTCTGAATTATTTGTACTAAATAAACATGAACAGCATCCTTGGACCTAATTCTGAACAATATTAGTTACTACCTTCGAGACTTGCGACTGTGGATGAAATCATAACGAAAACCCATCGTAATACGTCTCAGTATTTGTACACTGCCGGACATGAACGCCTTCATCATGCACAGATGGGACCATATTTGCAGGGAAGGTATTCATGCTGCTACTGTATAAACAAAGGAAAAAAGTGTGGCGTCATATCATTTTCTGTTGTCCCGTTAAACCAGTCGGGTCATCTCCGTTTGTCTTCGTTCCACAGCAAAGCGCAGCTAAACATACTATCGATGTAATGGATGTTTAGCGCAAATTAGCATCTGATGAAACTGGATGACCCAATAATGTGGGTAGTGCTTCTTCGGGCCACAAAGCCGGGTAGAGTTACGCATATTAAACGGGCGCATATAAATTCCGACGCAACGATCGTTCAGCTTGGATATTATGGATGTTAGGCGGATATTGGATAGCTGGGATTGTATTTTCAGAGGGGAGCGTAATGGCACTGTCGGCGTCGTGGTGCGGGATGCGGGATGCGGGATTCATCGGGGTAGAGTGCGCGCGCACATGACCTCGGTCGAACGCTGGCTGCCGATTGGTTCCCCGCTCCAAGCGCGCTGCACTTTACGTTGAGTTAATTTTAATTCCCCCTCCTGTAGCCCCTTTGCACATGCTGGGTTCCGTAAAGGACTCCACTGTTCCATAGTGTGCGAGGTATATAATTCTGGGACCGTGTAGCCTGCCACAACCGACCAATCGTGGTGTTCCTGCTACCTTGGTGGGGCAAAGCAACTTTACTATCTCCCTCTTCCTCTCTAGCTTTCTCTTTCTTGCACCTTGCCAATGCTCCGGTCGACCGGTTGCAGGAGGCTGGCAGCGCGCGCCGCTTGCGCGTCCTTAGAAAATAACCCTGCTGAACACTCTGAACTCATCGCTGAACGCGCCTCAACGGTTCGGAACTCGGCGCGGTTAACGTTGAGTGCGCGTGTCGCACATCAATTCCACCTCTCTTCCGACGCCATCTTGGACGTCCGATAGGCTTAATAAGTTGGGATTATTAGTGCGCCAGTTCCGCGCGACAGTTCTCTATTAGATTTAACACTTCGACATTCCTCCGACGCATTGTACTTCACTCGGTCGTCGTGATACGCGTGATACGTGTAAACGTATCGCTCGCGCATACGTAGAGAAATATGTTTTCGATGTATTGGCCGCCATCTTGAATAATCCAAACTACAAAACTTACCGCGGGATATGCAGTACACTGTTTGATAAGACGATACGGTTTGCGTATTCTCTCGGTTGACTATGCTGCCGGTGGTCGACTAATTATGCAAGTGTTGAAATTTACGAATTTAAACAAGTCCCGGGACATTTAAGAAATGATTCCCTTCATTAATTAGTAAACGCATTTATTTGATTTTTCAAAAATACTTTGTGTCAGTGGAGACTAGTCGATTAAATGGATACATATAATCGTATACCTGGATTCGTTTAAAGAATCCTTTGATTTTCTCAATAATATCACAAGAGGAGTCAAATATTGGATATACAATGCAAGGAATAAATTTCTCAACAAAGAGATTCAAATGTGTGACTTAAAAATAAAAATAAAAATCTATTGAATTGACATTATTTCATTTAAAATTGCCAGCATTGTTGACAACAATGCTTGTAAGTATCCCTTTAAGTTGTAGATTCCTCTTATCATTACAAAACCTTTTAAAAATATACTTTTAACATTGGTTATTGAATCAATTTAATAATGTATATTGTGTAATGTATTAATATATGTATAGTTTAATAATTATTTTTCTATGCAACAATTAATGCATTATACATTTTTCTACAATCTATGCACATCATTACTTCTCATTACAGATTGGAAATGAACAGTCCATTGGAGCGTGATTTTGTTGGATATAAATTTTCCTCATTGGACGAGCCTAGTAAGAATTCCTCGACGCAGATTTTAACAGAACTTGGTACGTTTACTTCTTGGTTGCTACATTAACATTCTTTATAAAATTAGTAGATAACATTGTATTAAACTACATAATTTTGCTTTAACTTATTTCTTAGACTGTCAGATCAACAATGTAGTTCCGGCGACAATGAATCTGTTATATGTAGTATTGTGATATATGGCTCTACATTTGTATAATTCTGGGACTAAAATTTGGTCAGACATAATTCATTATTCAGCAGTAACTCATGACATTTATTGAAATAAAATAGTAAAATTTATGAGTAAAAAATTTAAATTTACTAAATAAAATCAAAAAAATTCTATCAGAGCTTTCGCTTGAAAGAATCCTTGTATTAATTATGTTTGTATTTAAAGCAGCTCTTAATTTATTATCGTGTAATATTTGTTAAATGTTTTGTTTCATTTTACCTTTTCACATAAAAATAGATTGTGACCAGTGATATTAACAGAAGTATCAGTTATATTGTATTAATTTTCTAACAATAACATTCGTTTTATTCAGACATTGGGTAGAATTCCATTTTGTGTGACTCCTGCAACATATTAATTTACATTACTTAAGATTAATATTCTAGATCACAGTATGAATTATCCTATATCGAGTCCGAGCCAATTTGACATTTATATGATTGTAGAAATTCAGACTGCAAAGAGTTAATCTGATTTGAATGGTAAAAAATTGAACAAGGCTTTCCACGACACAGATTTACTTCTATAGTAAAATAATTAATTATTTTACTTCATATCAAAGTTGCTTAGCGTTCTTCATAGATCTCAGATCATTGTAACTTTAATCTTGGTCAATATTAATGAGGTCTATAAAGAAATTAATACTGTGTGAAAATGTATTTTTTTCCCCATTGTTTATTGCAATTCTTCCAAAAGTCATATGGAATGAATGAAAAACATGATCTAGCAAGGACTAAGCACCCGTTTCAGATTTAATTCCTAAAATCTGAAGGCTTTGACATTATAATCAAATTAAATCTTTTTATTCAATAAACTTGTTGCATAAGCTTTATTCGTTTATTACTGCTTCAGTTGAAACATGAGAGCTCCTAAAAATAAAAATTGTTTAAGGGTATAGCTTATGATCGTTGTTCATACATTTTATTAAAACTAAATCGGGTTGCATTGTACGATTAATATTTCAAAACACATTTGACATTCTATTTCTTTTAATCGATTAAAAACAAGAGCTACATTGTGGTTAAATAAACTTATTGTTTACACATACTGATGAAAGTGATCGCATGTCTGCCATGTATGTGACAATGGTTTATACTCGTAGCTGTGTGACTGTTTTCTTTGTGGTTTCCATTTTTCCGTAAGACACAGCTTTAGTGTATATATTGTGTCGAAGCTTTTGTGACTATTACCTAAATGTTGATCCTTAGAGCAAGCTCGAGGGTATATTGTCCTTACACACGTTTTTAGTGTATATTCTTGGTATTTATTATAATACAACAGAGAATGTCTTTCATATATGTCATCAATTAGAGGTATTCTTTAATATCCATTCAAAATATTTGGATAGGTCAAGAAATAGCATGCGATGATGCTGTCATTTCCCTAGTCAGGAACGAATGTCGAATACTTTTATATCAAAGAAAAAATCCCCCACAATTAGCTGATCCTTATCGAAGGGTGGTAAGGCAAGAATTGTAGTTGATTTTTGAAACTGCTCCTGATGAAAGAATACCAGTCTAGTTAGTTACCAAGAAAAATCGAGCTTAATTCGTATCGATTGGTTGGTTCCCAAGTCTTCTATTCCGCCATTTCGAAAATGCACGGAAAAGATGAGGTTAGAAACAAGTTTGATATTACGCTGATCGCGAAGCTGGAACAACTGTAGATCCGAGATGTCCTGTGCGCTCGCCTGTCGTCTCTTGTCGCACTCATCAGGTCCCCGGATAAGCCGGATAAGAAAGAGATGGCACGGTCTCGTAACAAATCACATGGGGGAACCTTACAAGGCTGCGAGCCAATTTTGACTCTTCGGCAATTTTACCTCGTGCACTATCTTCGTCGATTTTCACACCACTGTCCTGTCTCTTTCACTCGTCTCGACCAGTACGAAAGTATAGGGATCTCTCGGTTACCCCTCCGATTAACCTGAATGGTGGATAAAATGATCGCTCGGTTCTATTTGGATTCTCAAGTTGGCAATGGAACTGTGTAATTGCTTGGATTTTGTTCGGAACCCACTTGAAGCTTGTGCAATTGTACCAGAGATCGTACGCATCACCAATGCACTGTACAGAGCACGTATTATACCGTTTGTGCACAATCGCCTTGTGGGCAGACGCATGTTTACGTGTAACCACGCTGACCGTTGTATTTCGATTCCAGTTCGTTTATCGAAAGAGCACGTGCTACAAGGGCTGGACAATTTGTATTAAATAAATTATCAACTAGTTGATAAACCAGGTATCGAACACTGTTCAAAATGAATGTCTTAAAAGATTATAGCATGCAGATGTAATTAACCGTGTTTGTATGTAAATATTCCCTGCGGAAAGTCACCCACGTCTGTTACCATTGTTTCCGATCATAATTTGGTTACATCGTTTTCATTTTGAATATAAAACGCAGGGATTGTGTGCAAGAATTTCACACGTAACGTGCCATGAAACTATTTAATTAATTTAGTCCGTTTAGTTATTAAATAAACAGAAACTGATCATGCAAAAATATTAAATCTTGGAATTATCAATATAAAAGATAACTTTTAATTTGTATTTCGAAAAAGATTTCTTGGAATCTGTTTTGACTATTGTATTTATGGGTTAAAATTTCATATTTATATAATTATTTTATTACAATTAAGCTGTAATAGAGTACATTTTTATGAAAACGATTTTCGACTTAGTAATGTATACTTTAATACCATTGAGTAATTTTTTAATTCTTTTGCGAGTGTAATAAAATATTAACTATGGGGTACTTAACCGATTGTTTATTATTTCAGAGAACTTCAACTTGGACAACTCAATTGAAAATTTACCTTTTGCTGTATCTCATTGTGAGATTTGCAACCAAGAATTTTTAACGAAGAGAGAATTGAGGGCTCATATACTTTTGCATTTACGGCAGCCTCGAGTAGTGCTGGATAGGATTCCCAATCTGAAATCGGTAAAGAAAAAGCAGAGTAATACGTATCGGCTGGATCCAGAAAAAAGTGGTTCATTGAAATTCAAGCTGAAAAAGCAAGGTTTTATCGATTCCATTAAGTTGACTCTGAAAAAGTCTTCACAGTCTCAAGACTTCACTGTAGTAAACAGTAATTTGGATTTGGAAACAGAAGACTATTACAAGGAAGACGTGGAAGGGACAAAAGAAGATGATCGAAAAGGTAGAAACGAAGCGGAGGCTTCGATTAATCAATCTTTCCAAAACGTGACATTAAATCAAGAGGTAAATATTCTTAAAATTTTATTGTTACAATTTTTTAGAATACGTTTCAGAATCATAAGGCTATGCAATATTATTACAGTGGATTAGAAATTTAATTTTTTCACGTCGTTTTTACATAATATATATACAGTAAGATGTGCAAATCATTTGCGAAATATATAGATAATCTAAATTAGAATATCCAAAAATAAAATCATTTTAAATAAATATAGTATATTGAATCGCATGCTGGGAATATGATTGTGGTATATAATACTTTCTTGTCATCCGTCCCATTCACTAATGATTTTAATTGTAAAATCTTTTATAGATTTAAAGATTAATCGAATTATTGGAATTGCTACCTTGAAAAATGTTTAAAATTTAGTCATAATGTATCTCTATGCTTTGATCCGTTTAAGTATAATATAATGTGATTACAAATAATCATTTCTGACAGTTGCTATACATAGTTCGTTATACATAGCAGGAAAATTATGGAAGCCATGATTACAATACCAAAGAACACAACCAGTTGATCGAGCATGAAAGACAATGCATCGATGCAAATGAGGGAGACTCAGGTGTAGGAAGTGACATGATGAATCCATCGGAGAAAGAGGATCAAAATGTAGACGATGTTTCATCGGCAGATCACTTTGATAAAACGGAGAAGCCTCTCCCAGACAATGAAGATCACGAGGAGTCGGATGCGCTGGAGGCAACTTGTAGAGAGACCATTGAAAATCTTAGGAAACTTGGTGAACAATCAAGGTAAATTTTTAGATATTTCTATATTGACACTGAAAATGGGCCATCTCAGTCGATAGCTGAAAAACGAATGTTAATTCATTCTTCATGTTATTATGTTTCTACTTTACAGACCCATCAATTTACGATCCGGCGAATCGTCAGTAAATGAGGAAGAGGATATTGAACGACCATCCGCCATGACACAGCAACTCGAAGAAGATACTACCACCGAGATCATTTCGAAGTCGTCTGCATACTCAGTCGAATCTCCGAATCATGTACCGACTTGCACAGAAAAAGAGGACTGTGGGTCATCCGAAGCAAATTCGAGTTTCAACTGGAATCAGCTGTCTACTGATATAACTAACAAATCGGTAGACACTTTTAGTAAAGAGGGCGGAGAAGGTGTTTTAGTGGACAACAACATTGACAATGCTGGGTCCCTCTTGCAAACGTTCTTGATGGAACATCAGAGACGGAATCAAAGTGAGACAGCCATGTCGGGTGCTTTGCCGTTGGGCGAGACGGAGTACGTCTCCTTAGAACGACTGGCGGAGACGGTGAACACATGTCGTGTTTGTAACGAGAAGTTTAAAGACATTGCTCAGTTGGATGAGCACAGGTCCAAAGCGGGACACTACCAGTGTAACATACCCGAATGCGCCTCGATCTTCGGTTCACCGATGGAAGTGGCAGTGCACAAGGCCCAGGCACACGGACCGCCGCTCTCCCCAAATATTGCCCAACTCTCATCGCACCTCAATGTAAGCTCACCTCGGATGAATCAAAGCTCTCCACACCTGAGCACAACCTCGCCCCATGCAGCGGGCTCAGTCGACTCCCCGCACACATCTGGGGGTTCGCATCAACACAACCGGCCGTCGCCAATGGCGTCTCCGTTGACGTCGCCGTTGACGTCGCCGTTGACGTCGCCACTTGCCTCCACGCAGCAGGCCGCAAATGGCTCGCCAACATACGCCGGTGTACAAAGCACAGCGCAGCAGATTATGCCACCGGTCAACTTTGAACAGTTGCCGGCACCCGTGCAGCAATTGGCACAACAGGTACAGCGCATGCCTCTGCCTCAATCGCAGATGCCCCCGAACCTTCCACCCGGGCCCAACGCCGCAATGCTGCCTGCATCCAATTATTTCGTCCAGCCACCGGGGAGGCCACCGTTGTACAGAGTCCCCAGCCCCCAGGGAATGCACTACCCTTCGCACATTGCCCATTTGTACTCCCAGTACGGGACGGGGTCCTATCCACAGATGCCTGGGCCTCCGCAGATGCACCCCCAAATTCCACAGCAGATGCCGCGGAGGTATCCCAGCGTTATGCCAAGTACGAGGTCAGTTTCTCTCGATTTCCTTGACACTCGGAATTCGTTTCAGTGGCGCTATTAAATTAAACTTCTGCGAATCCCCGGACTTTTAGATCCAAGACTTGGGGGATTCATCGAAAATTCTTACCATAATATTTCCAATGCGCAGTTGATATTATTTATAGAAGAAAAGCAATTTAAAGAATGGCACCTAGCGTTTTTGTTAACACGATATCGATACGTCGTAAAGCCGATTTTTACGTACAGCATTTGTTGGAATGCGATATATGGAGACTTTATAAAAGTTTGATTGGAGTAATCATTTTAAATGGCTTACCTTGAGTATTGACGATCGTGAGGTTAGCAATTGGTTAATATCCCAATTTCAGGATGTTTCGGCCGATCTACGTAATGTCTACCAGTAGATTGGCCGTGGGACTTACACATCCTAGAATGAACTTGATAAAACGTAATCGCAGTCAATTGAATATTTTGAATCGTTGGATCGCAGAGCTCCACGAATGCCCCAGTCCGGACCCATACCACGCCAGCGGATGAAGAGGCCCTTACAACAGCCAATGCAAGTACAGCAAGGTAATCCCCCCCAAAAGCAAAGACGAATGGACGTTTTACTGCCGGATAGAAACGAAGATGCGGATTGCCACGTAATCGCTCAGCAGAAGCGAAACGACGGGCTTCCTGTTATCCAGAACGTGCAAGGTGCTACGAGTCAACAGTGTAGCAGGAATGATTCCACGATTCACTTAACAGATTCTATTACGCTTAGCGTTCGGCAACCTGGTAAGTTTGATGTTATCTTACGAAGTTACATTCTTTAATGTTTAGTAGAAACGTTACCTTCGACAGTCTGAAAATCAGAAAACAGGGAAAGATTATCGGTATGATGTATTGGGTTGAGGAAGAAGTTCCCGCCGTTTTTAAGGGGATGTGAAAGAGTCAGTATATATATATATATATCTGAGAAATCAAATCGTTGGTGAAAATATTTCTCCGAATTGGGTGTACCGATTCGTTTCAAATTTTACCGCGTGAATATGGAGGCCCTAAAGTAGGTCCTGAAACTCATGAAATTTCATTTTTCTTCAAAAATTTATTTACGTATCATGGACTAGAACCAACATGGCGTGGTCCGTGCACGTTTTCGATGTTTTACGCTTCTTGGAGGCTTAGAATCGGAAATAAAGAGTTTCAGGACCTAGCCTGAACAATTTAGAATACCGTAGAAATGGAATATTACAGAGTCAGATGGGAAAATGTGACAAATACTTTCACCAACGATTGCAAGAGAATGCTGTGTTGTCCTGCGGGTAACACGTGTTTTTAGAGCAAAAATTTAGTTGCAGCTAAACGTTACAGATAACAAAGTTGGTTCGTCAAAATATAAACAGTCATGAATTCATGGGATTTCGACAGTTTTACATCGATCTTTTTATCATTACTTTACCGAAATGATGTATGGAACCCTTCGGTTCGTATAATTCTCGACGTAGACTGTAAAAGACTTCAACTTAGATATAAATGTCGGTAATGGGACGCACCAGCTTATGTTACCACTTCAGTATTCAAAACAGCATTACCACTAAAAGGGGTATAGATGAATTTTACTTTATCGACGTCGATTCAATTTCTTAACGCCTTTTATATCCTCTTAACATAACGTAACGTAATTAAAACGGCGGGCACTTATTCCTCCTCCTAATAGTAGTAAATTAAAAGTGAATCGTATCCCTATTTTTACACCCGTAGAACTTATTGGAGTCCTGATAGCATGTATACACTTCAAGATAAATGTAATGTAGCGTCACTTGAAGGGTATGCTGAAATGACTTTTTTATTTTTAAAATCTGGTTTACGGTGATGCGAAAGGCGAGGTGCTCCTTTACAGGGAATCTAAGCGTTGAAACATTTCACTTTTTTTTTTACCCCCTTAAGAATGGATGTATTACTGAGTCAACGTTTCATCTCTCACCCTGAAGTCACAAACGAAGATACGAAAACCTCTATCAGAAATTTACATTTTAAAGAAGTGCCTTATTTAAAAAATTGAGATACGGACGTGCACGCTTGTCTTCTAGAAAAAGTGAATAATACATTTTTGTAACTCAAATTTCACCCTGCCGAAAAAGCGAATCGAAATGTACAGTCGTCGCTGAGTGTCTCTGACCATTCAAACGATAATTGCTCGTTGCTATTTATAGTCGGAACACACATGTATGTACGTGATCGTGTTTTCACTACTTTCTTATATCATCGCATAACTTGCCGTAAGCGCTTTAAAATATACATAAACCGGCAGAGTGGCCCGTCTTCTAAGTAATCTCCTCCGTCCGTTTCTGTCAAAAATTGCACTAAAAACGTATCGAAACATTCAAAGCGTGTCCATTTCCGTTATTTCTTTTTAGCAGGCCAGTAGGCAATTTTAGAAATTTTAAATTACTGAAAAGCTTTAAGTCGACATTTCTTCTTACTTGTGTAGGCACTTTTACCCCTTTGCAAATTTCACAGGCCTACGTATGAATAAAGTGATTTTACAAAGCTTTCTGAAAGAAGTAAATTCGTTGAGATCAAAAGATGACACGTGGAGCAAGGATGACATACATCGCGGAACCTCTTGAAGGAGGCTGGACCTGATTCATCTCTCGTAAGCCAGAATTTGTCCGTTTCCGCTTATCGTGTAGTGCTTACAAGCTGCCAGTAGTGACTGAGGTAACACCAATTAGCACAAAACATACTCTGTATTTTTTGTTACTAATTCAAAGGCTCCGCTCCAGCACAACTGCAAAATACTGCAGGGCTCGGCGGTAAGAAACCTGACGCTAAAGCTGTTGCCAATGTGTTAGCTGCCAGAGGGATCACGGTCACTCCGGCGGCGAATAAAGGTAAAGCCAGTGAACAGAATAAACAAGTACCCCAGCAGCAACAAAGACTTCCACCTCCGGCACAGCCTATGAATGTTACAGCCTTGAACTTGAACTCGGCTATTTCTATAATACCCGCAAGTTCACAGAGGAAACAGCAAGAACAGCAAAACCAATTCGCTGTACCTCAGAACAAACAGAATAAGCAGTCGGTCAGTGAGGTCGAACGACCTCCTAGACCGCCTACTGTTGATCTCACCCAGGATGGTCCGCCGCCACCTCCTATGGTTAGAAGGGGCAGACCACCGAGGTTGGTTTAGTTTTACATTTTTAACGTTTGATTACTTTCCCAACTTCAAGTTTGAATCCTGCAATTTTCCAATTTTTTTATTTTTAATTCGGAACTTCCAATCTCCTGGCGTTTCTCCATTTTATTATGGAACATAATAACACGGAATTAATCGGATGAATCTGACTACCTCGTGACTACTTCATTTTAAGTGACTTAGATATAAATATTAATTCATCATTATTACTGTTTCAGAGCATTATTGACGTGTCAGGTCTGTGACAAAAGTTTTCAAAACCAAGAAATGTTAACTCAACATATGGCAAGTCATCGGGCAACTAGTAAATTACTCCACAAGTAAGTTGATCCTCAATTTTTTCAATTATTCTTACAAAAAGAAGATATCGTGAAAATATAACATTGGGCAATTGGAAGAAATGGTTTAAATATGTTTTTGGAGGATAAAGTTAAAGTGAATGTTTGAAATTACAATATCAATTGTGGATAAAGTAGGGCAGCCTACCTGCATTTCTCAAGAGGCGTATAATTTCTTTACGAATCTCGAATGGTAGGGCCGGCACTAGAGAGCTTGACGTCCTTATGTAAGAATTTATGTAGCGTCCTTTTGCAAGAATTTTTATAGTTTAGAATTATCATTACGAAAACAAAACTCCGCAGTTTCATATTAGCAAAAGGTCTAATATGTTCTTTGATATTAAGGTGAAGTGAACCCCGACGAGAAATTTAATTGACGTCGGTATGAAAGTTTCTTGTAAATATTTAAGTTACAGACATTCGTATTAAACTGACAGCTGTGCCGTATTATATTGAGTATTATATCGAATGGCATACTCAATGCATCATTTATGTACAATGATTCTAAACAAATCGACGTGAAACTCCAGAAATCCCCAGGATTCATAGTTTTTGATACTGTAATTGACCACAGAGTGCCACCCTGCACCATCTGTGATCTCAGTGCTAAATCAATTTTGTCTCCGAGACCTCGTGTTACCTTCGTCTTAGCACAGAAGCACATAAGACACTTTTTTGCTTTCATCTCGTTCAAACGCGCATTTCTCGATTACTAAAATGTTCTATATTGTGCAATTGTCCTGACACTTTCATTTCTCACATCAGAGCCTTTAATAATTATATGTTGATCGAAATATGAAAGTTTGACTCTATTTTGGTTCTGGTCTAGGTTAAAATAATTTTTTTTCGAAAATCGAACTTTTGAAAGTCGAGATATTTCTTAGGTGCTCACGAGTCATCAGTTTAAGTTTCAGGCAGTTCAGTTTAATACCCTTCAAAGAAAGTGTCTTATTCGAATTGACTGATTTTGAGGATTGATTTCGCTTGACCTTAAGGGCGCTCACCACTCCAGCGATTTTGCAGGGCCTCACGGGGACAACGATTCCGAACGTATTTCTAAACCGATCGAGCTTAACGAGTGCTCATATCGAAGATGAAACGTTGACCTGTGTTTATATGGGAGCGATTTTCGATAAGTGGTCATTATCATATAAAAAAGTGCAACGACATAATTTCAATGCCCTTTTACCTAGGAAGGAGATGCTCGATCGAAAATCGCTCCCATATAAACACACGTGAACATTTTATCTTTAAAACGAGCACTCGTTGAGCTCGATCGGTTGAGAAAAACGCACGCGACGTAATCGTTGTCCCCGTGGAGCACCTTTTTCAGGATTTTCAAGTTTCTCGCGAGGAATTTGGGCATTCCTTAGCAACCGTTGCCGACTCTAGGCGGAGCGTCCAACTTGCGTGTGCGTGCGGCCGAGGGTCACACACGTTTCGGCGCCTAGTCCAGAGGCGTCTAGCCGTTGTGTGAGTTGTATACGTGCAAAATACGCACACATTTTTCGCCCGTTGCTAAACACTGCCCATTATGTGTCGCGTCTCCCTCATCCGAGCGAGAAAGTACGTTTTGGTTACCTCCCACCGAATTCGATGCTAATGCCATCTAGCGGTGGAAGTTATCGTCCCTACTTGGTGGTGAACGCCGTTAAGGAAATGCTGAACTCACTGAACTGTACTCATGTTGGAACGTGCACGGCCGTATGTCCCAATGTTTTAGAAATCACCATGAGAGAGGGAGTCTCGGGGGGTATTCGTGTCGTATATTTTCTTCCAGTACAAGCCTGTACAGTTAATATCTAAATGTCAGCAGTACGATTCGAGGGATTGCGTGCGAGAAAAGAACACACGCACTCTCTGAGACCCTCTCTCTCATTGAGGGGATTCGCGGCTTGTGCTTAGTTCAGTATGGATATAGTTCAATGGTTGAAGTTGATTGAAATGATCGAATCTACCCGAGCGTCATTAGGGTAACGAACCAGAGAGAGGTAGCATCATTACCGGTCGTGGCATCCCGTGAACAAACTAGAGAATGTGCTTATACGCATTCTACAGACAACGCGAAATACTGCGACCAATTACTTATTTTTGCCTATTTTACATTAAAATTTAGGCGAACAAGTTTGGGCAAATTTGTGATAATCACTCATCAAATACTGTTGAATTACGTTTTTTCCTAGTTTGTTACATTATAGTATATTTATTATATTAAAAAGCTATTACGTCATCATCTGTGTTGACGATTCCGAACTGAATACTATCCTTCTTTACCTACGTTGTAGGATTTTCACCCGCGAATGACACGTGTAAAACGGGTTCATAGATTTTATCTATTTTTCGGTTTTAAAATTGTTGGGAAATGGTTCACTCATTATTATGGCAATTTTATTATTATTATTATTATTTTAAATACAAGTATGGTAATCTCAAACGTGAGCAAGTCCCAGATACTTTTATGTGGGCATAGATTTGTCGTTGGTGGCAGTTTGAATGATAACAGAATCTGCAAATTTTTATTTTTTCTCAATTTCAGTATGATTTGGATGGTCATTCCATTAATCTGTTAGTTATCTATCATTTTTCATTTTGTCGAGGAAATACGTCTTTTTTTTTAACAACTCAAATCGTCTTTCAGCCGGTAATGGTAGGATGGTTTAGCATCCTCTTAAGGTGATGTGGAAGGTATCGAGAAATATAAAAGACGCCGGTAAATAATAATTGTGATATACTGTATAACCGATAGAATATCTTAAACTGCGTGCCACGTTACCGACATTTATATTTATGTTGTTATCTGTTGCACTTTCCATTGCGAATTATAGAAATCGCATTCTCCACGTGTCATTCCAATAGAATGATTATGAAGAGTTTGACGTAAAACTCAAGAAATCCTCTAGATTTGTTATTTCCTATAACTTAATCGACATTGTGGCGCCATCTGCTGCTTCAACAAAACTAATTTTTTGTTACAAGGTAGTTACAGTGCACGGATTACCTGCATCGTACACCTCAAATTTGAGGATAACATTTTTTTACCTTTTTCAGGTTCGAATGCATAACTTTCTCTTATCATCATGTTTCCAACGATAGAACATGATTCTTATCACTCTTATTTGTTACTTTATAGTCTCCTGGTCGTGAATAATTGTAAAACTATTATTTGGTTCTGGTGTATGCTAAATATCAAAAGTTATGTCAAAAAATGAGTTTTATGTAACGCAAGCATGGTTTGCACATCCTTTCGCGATTGTCTACGATACCTAATGTTGGCCTTTCTGCGGAGGAGGATGTAAACAAACGGGATGGACGGGGAACAGTACAGAAAATAGTCTCAAAACGTCCAAGGACGAAGATGTGCCCATATTCGTACTCCGCGCCTGCGCAAAACGACGCGTAATCCATGCTTTTGTTAGATAAAGTATCGCAAATAATATATTTTTTAGTATCAGATAAGGCCTTAGCCTACTCATAGGCCATAATCATGTGTTAAAATTTCACACGAATCGGTCCATTAATTTAATTTTCTTTAACCCTTAATGCTCCAAGTGTGCCTCTTAAGCACTGACACTTAAAAACTTGCAAGTCAAAGTATGATGAGAATAAGTTGGAGTTGCCGGTCGATATTCACAATTAAAAGTCGGAGCGTTAAGGGTAAATTTATTCGTGTAACTGACCGTTCAAACTCACCTTTCACATCACCTTACAATTTTTCATATATATCGTGTTCTATTCAAATCATTGCTGATTTAAGCAATCTTCCTTATGCTATAGTTGATCTTAAACAATTATTAATAAATTTTAATCTGAAAAGTGATCGTTCTCCTCTTGCGATAGTTACGGAAATAGTGAAATTCTAAATCTTTATGAAAGGTTCTTACCAGGAACAATAATATAAAAAAAATACTGAATACCACTGATATGACTTATGATGTTTTAAACAATATCCCTCGGCTTTCCCAAAAAACCCTTGCTGAAAATAAAAAAATGTTTTTGTATCCGAGATACTCCTCAACATCAACGGTTCCTATACCTAACATAGGTTGCTTAGTGCGTTCTGCCGGCCCTAACGAATGGTACTGCGATCTTATGTGTTTTACTGCTATAATCGCATCATCTAAAACTATGTATTTATGATCATGATATGACCGTATTCTTCTTCGCACATATAAATGATTTCGATAGGTAAAACAGGCATGATAATTTAAGACTTAAGAATCTTTATTAAAAAATGTTTGGTTTTAGGTGCAATCTGTGCAAAGCACAATACCCGACGTCACAAGATTTGGCGACGCACAAGCAGACGTATCACAAAGAAGTCGATATGACAGCACAAAATGGAGGTGCAGAATTGGCAATTCCTGTAATCGACCTGAAATCTCCTCAAGCTTTGAATCGATTGTCAAGTCTTGGTATTCAAAGTTACATCCCATTATCGCAACTTAGTGCGCAAACTGGTGGTTACTTTGGTTTACCGATAATAACTATAGATGGCGCAAGGAATCCTAATGCTTGCAATTTAGGGGCACTCGGTGCAACCTCGATCCTAAGTCTGGGTCCTTTAAAACATTTGTCGAGTAGGTAACTACAGTTACCTTAAAAGTTGTATTTTTTGTGCCGTTTCCATTTTGTGCAATCCCGCATATTTTCTCGTTTATTTCCGTCGAGAAAGTAAGGAGCGAAGCAAATTGGATGATGATTAATAAGGTCGCATAATCCGGCAATTGTACGATTTTTATTTAAGATAAATAATTATGCTGCAGATTTCACGTAGATCGATTGTTTGACTGTTAAAATTATGCGCGATTCATTTCAAATCCTATAAAGTATTATATGATATAGCTATTTACTATTTTGTGATATTATTTCTATACTTATACTTATTTTCCGATTGTACCCTCTTACAAGAAAACTGAAAAACAACATTTGGAAATTTTTGCGGAACAACTACTTTTGTTGAAACGAAAAAGTAAGTAAATAGGTAACCGCGAATGGTCGTTATATGTACGCACATTAATTGCGTAAAATGAACAGGTTTATAAATTTGTTAGTTACTACCGGCATCATGAGTTGACGGGAATATCCTGTAGAGTTCAGTGACTTCAATGAGTCGGTTACAATCGTACGTTTTTTTTATTTATGCTTATTTATATGTACTCCTATATTTCATTCAACAGTTTATCTATTAGAATGATTTTTAACTGTCGGTTCACTTATGAATGTATGCAAAGATTAAGGAAACTTTAGATGAGTCTATAGAAGAGATAATTGTCTTGAAGATCCATGCTTTTAGAAAAAATTAAATCGCTTAAAACTGAAGTATCTGGGGATTTATTTTAAACGAGACGAAAAAAAATACGTAACATTGATTGGATATTAGAAGTGACGTCGCGGTGTTAATAAGTAAAAATATATTTGTTTATGCTTTTGCAGATTATTTAACATTTTTAGGTGTATATTTATTCATTCAATTTTCATACATATAAGTCCCAAATGATTTATTTTTGTCCACATCTTTTAAACATGCACAAAAGTCTGCATTCATGTCAAATTCTTAATCCCCATTTCATCTTTCAATAAATATTACATACTTATGTTGCAATCATCGTGTTCGAGATAAGATTAATTTCAAAACATATCCCCCGTTTAATATATGATTTTTTGATACGATTACAATTAATGCAACGTAGTCTTCCGTCCCTTTCTTGATGCTTCGGATATTGTGATCTATTTCTTATAGTAATATTTTGTTTGAAAATACGTAATGTAACAACTACAAGAAGAACTTCATTCTTTTCTATTGTGCAACAAATTTTTAAATATCAATATGCACTATAAATTGGCATGTTTATTCCTCGATGAGATACGAAGAAAAATGTTATCTTTAGACCTTTATAATTTTGGGTATTAAAATAGGCGTGACAATTATCTCTTCTTTCATTGAAAATTATTAACTATAGCTTCCCAAGACAGTTTCTACTTTGCGCGTTTCATGTTTATACATGTAAATATATATTAATTTACTAGAATTCTATTTTAAATCGACAAGATATGTAGTAGGGTATGCTTTAACTCGTTAAGTTGAAAAAATTGAAATATCTACTTTTGAACGTAGCCTTGTTACAGAAGCGCAACATTAGTTTGTACTTATACCCTGCATTACTGACTCAACGTCCTGCATTGTTTTTTTTTTTTAATTTATTTCAGACATTGACCCTCGCCTAAACCCTTATTCATAATTATTTATTACTATCTTTCGATATGGTCTTCGTTGTAAATAATTAACGAATTTCTTTTCTTATACATAAGATGCTTTGACAACGATTAGAAGAATAATCTTCTTTTTAACATCAGTAGGTCAGAACTGACTTAACATTTCACCGTTGTAAATATCTGTATTATAATAAGATATCTAGCGCTGCTACAGTGAAGGGTGGACATGCAAGATACTATTAATCGTGTTGTTTGCAAAGACAAAGAAAAAATAGAAACAATGGAAACTGATCCAAATGGTTAGAGTGGAATTTTAATACCGTATTCACTTTCTAAATTTGTCAAAAAATTATCTACAAATACCACGAATGTCTTCTTCACATGCTGAAATATGATCTAAGATTTGTTAAACATACGTAGAGTATGGGGGAACAATCATTTAAGTCTACTTCACTAAGAAAAATCAGTGTCATATAATGTCTCTATTGAATGTTCTCGACAAGTGGCAAATAACTTCTATGAAAAGAGATGAACGTGAATAGTTCCTCCCCTAAAATTTTCGAACGTGATACATTGTATACTTTGAAAATTTATATCATAAATAAGAATGAATTTATTTTGAAAATGCCGATATTAGATTAAATTTGTACAGTAAATATTCAAGTGAGGTATAGTTACAACAAATCTTGGATTCACACATTGCTATATTGGCATTATTATCTGTCGGCACATGTTCCAAGAATGCATATAATAGAACTTGTAAAACGAATAATACGTACTGCTGGTATTTGTAGCGAATTGTGTATAAAGTGATGTACAGTAAAGTAAATTGAATTTTTTATATTCGACATGAAAGCTATACTTTTTCTGTATTCACTTAGAATGTATTTGAAAAATACTTTGCAATATTTTCTTACTTTCTAACGTATCCGTTTCCATTCCATTCATATACTTTGTGTGTAAAAAAAGCGGTAAACATGACAGCATTTATACTTTAATTGAATGTAGAATGCTCATTAAAAAGAAATATCTGTAACAATTAGTACATACACTTCATAAATTAAATTAAAGCAAATCACTAAGGAAACTCTTACGTTTGTCATATTAATTGTGCAATTCAGAAGTGTTTGCTAAACTCTTGAGAATGTACTGGTAAAATGATTTCGCTTGTAATTTACCTACGTGATTGAGAGGTTCTGTTACTTAAGAAACTATGACAACAAATATTATTGTCGAATTAGAAACAATATCCCAAGAGGGACTGCATTTCACAAAATATTTTTTACAAAATACTGTGTACCACGTTAATTCTAGTAGAGTACATGCAAATACAAATAACAATAGACATCCTTGAATATTTATGGTACAACGCAAATTACTATTAATTCCAAACTTACAAATTGTACAAAGCATTATTATTATTACTGGTTATGTTTACTACAGAAATAAGCGACTCGAGCCACTCCACTTGCATATCAGACTTTCACTGTGATAATGCAAGAATAACTTATGATTATGCATAGTTTTATCTGTATTTTTATAAACCGTTGGACTCCAAACTTTATTATTTTAAACGTGTAAAACTTAATGAAATAAAATTACGAAAATTAATACAATGCCAGCCATTCATTACCTGGTAAGCTCTGGTGTAATTATTGTGTGCATGCAATTAGTAACAAAGAGTACAACGTTATCAAAAACTGTGTTTATTGCTCATTTTCTAATTTCTTTTAAGACATTTTACTGCACCTTTTCACTCTTTTTAAATACATAGTGTTACGATCGCGGATAAATATTTGAAGATTGTGACGGTTATTGAGTGAAATAATCATGAAGGTGTGTCCTGTTCCGAATCGACAATGGAAGTCTTGAATCTTTTTTTAGGATCACCTAGTCTCCGGGGAGGGTGCATCGCTTGTTGTTTAAGTTTGGGAGTAATCGTGCCCGGTAAGAAGGCTGGAATTCATTGGAATTAAAAATTTTAATTCCACTGAATACCTGATTTTTCCATTGCCCTTCATTCCATTGGCGATAAAAGAAAAAAGCAAAATCTAATTCCTATCAATTCACTCTGAAAAATAGAGGGGAATGAGATTCGAAGGAATTCAAAAATACGAGAATTGGAATAGGCAAAGGAATATGAATCTCAATACTCCTTGTGGAATTGAAACAAATTTTTTTATTTCCACGGAAAAAAGAAAAAAACGAAAAAAATTCGATTTTTATGATTACGTACGTTATACTTAAGTTCCTGTCAGTATCCTCATATATTTCTACCTTAAGTAGTAAAATAATATTTTATGCTCAAAAGGATGCTTTCTCGATGATAACTTCCCTTTTCCCTCTCCTTCGAGAAGGGGTAGGGTCATTATAACATAAATGCAAGGAATAATAACAGGTCTTATATGCAAACGAACTGTCTGCATGGCCTGTGAGAAGTTTGGCCATCTGGTGGTTCTGTCGAAACTAATGGTGCCAAACCATTGTTTCCGTAATTACATAAGCAAGTTTAGAGTAACCTTGCAATATGTAAAGTCTTACCATAATTGTGGTTACAGCTACCAGATAAACCTTGTATCTTATTATAGTTATTATAAGCTGTTCATAAAGTTAATATTACCATTTGAAATGTTGATTACTACTGCACCTTTTAAGCCCAGCGCCATGGACACAGTACCTATTGGCAAGGTTACGTTTATCATTCTATGTGGTCAATTTCACTATTTATGCGGTTTCATTTACCACAGTACTTTGACCATGTCGCTATAGTAATTATAATAAAATTATTTCTTTCCGTGTATTGACATTAAAGGCGTAACTAATTATTGCGTAAATTACAATGGCAATTTTTTACAATTCTTTCCAATGATACCTTCTCCTCACTTTCGCACATAAAAAATGTGAAATTTCATGTTTATTTAGTAAATACTTTTTAAAATGCATGAGGTTTAATCAAATTTATATTTGGAATTCAGGAGAAAACAATACATTTGAAACCAATCTCAAATATTGGAATTCAACTACTTAATCTCTCGGGTATATAAAGTGGAATTGATTTAAATTTGAACTTATAAACTTATATTCCAAAAAAAGAATTCAATGCAATTGAATATACAAATTTTTTAAAGGAATTGGAAGGAATTAGGCATTCCTATAATGTATTCCTGTGAACAGAATACGAAACAATTTAATATCGACATTTCTTACCGGACTAGAAGGAATTAAACAAAGCAGAAATATATTCCTCTTTTCGGAATTGCACAAAAATCAGAATACAAAAGGAGAATAGATTATAATTGATTCACAGAAAATATATTCCTGTTGTGGGAATTGGACCTGGAGAGAAAAATCAGGTATTAAATAGAATAGAAAAATCATCACTTTTACGTTGAAACTATGAGACATTGAATCCTATTGTATTCAAGCCTTTTTACCGGGTGGTGGGGGAGAATATCCTTCCGTCGAATGCAGCCGAAAGACAGAAACCCGAATCTGCTGAAACACGGATAGACAAGAAGTCGAGCTTCCGAGTCTTCGCTTAGCATGTGAGATTTTGTAAACGTAACATCTCCCTCCTAGGGCTGCTAACCACAGTACCGAAGCTGTCGGGTTCGTATTCAGATTTATGACACACACGCAATATGATTTTTCACCGTTTTATTACTTGTGCGAGGTGCCCGACAAGTTCGGTACTGCCGTTAGCAACCCCTTACATAGTTCCGAATAAAGATTAGTCACTTATACAATTGAGTGGAGGCCATGAATAAAGGAAAATGATCGACCATGAAAACATACTAACAAGGGCAGTTCCCCCATCCGGAAATTCAAACAATTTAGAAACTTTGGGGATATTTAGTGTCTAGGTAAGTTACAAACAATTTTTTCTGGCGGAAAATCATTTTGAAGGGGTGAAATCATCTAAAAATTATTCGATTTTCAATTTTCATTTTATTTCTCGCCAACGATGAGATATGACAAAATGTTTCCAATAAAAGATAATTGAGCCGTTTATTTTGAAAGTGGCTTAAGTCCATTTATACTTAAATTGAGATATTTAAGGGTTTGTGTTTCGATGCAATTAAAAATTTACGTACAGGATACCAATGAGTCATACTGCTTAAGTGTATCTAAAGGAATTAAATTTACAGTTCGTATTAAAATATTGGCAATTATTAAGTGAATAATATGCGTTTTCTTACCAAGAATGGAGTTAAGCTACTTTCAAAATTAACAACCAGATTCGTTATAACATTTGAAATAGCCCAAGTCCATTCAACATAATTTAAAATGTTTCAAACTGAAAAAAACAATACTCAATTTATTTTATATATCTTTACAACGCTTCAACAACAATATTTATGGAATTCAAGACTTTTTTTAACTACATAAATTACAAAACAATTTACTGCTCATCTACATTTTGTGTATGTGAAAGAGATTTGAAGAAGTCATGATGTTTCGGTGGTATATTTCGTAGTAGGTCCATTATGTCCTTGAATTTCGCTGTTGTAATTTGTCTTATATTTTTATAAAGTGGGGTCGATCCAATATTTTCGAACTTTCTTGGTCTACCCCGACGTGGTAATAAATCCAGGACTTTAAAATTTTCATTCTCATTCATTGATGTCTTATAGAAAATTTTATATGGTTCATTTCTAACAAAACGCATCCAACATATTTTTAACCAGTTTATTGATTCTTCGTTAGAATTCTTTGCCCTTTTAAAAATTGCGTCTTCTAATAATTTTGTTGATACAAAATCCTCTTGTTTCATTTCATTTAGAATAAAGTTATTGCCTTTCCGGCAATTTTTGATATTATTATACTAATCTTGGGGGACAAACAGTTAATTATTTTTTTTTAATGACATTTCTCCCACGCTAAAATCTCTATCATTTGGTAAAAACGAATGTCCTGATATTAAAAATGTATGATCTATGATTTTCACATTATGTTCAACAGTTTGGACAATTTTTAGCCACATTGAAGCTACTTTAACGTCTGTATTTTGTCCTGCACACATGTCACTGTAAGCTGTAATGTGTCTTTCACTTCTTAAATTTTTAACATGTTTTAGAATGCATGAAGCTATTTCTTGAGCACTTCTTGATGCAATAGTTTCATCCCAAACGTACATGTGAACATTATCGTTATAAAAATTGTGAATACCCAAATTTATAACGTACATATAGATTGGACTTAGGCCACTTTCAAAATGATGGTTTTAATTATTGAACTAACTCTGAAAATTTATGTGTCCAAAATTATCGTATTTACTTGGAATATAATTAATCTCAAATGCTTTATTGATAGATAACTTCAAGTTGTACATTTAACTACGGGCAACCGAAAATAATTGCTAAATGGACTTAGGCCACTTTCAAAATAAACGGCTCAATTCTCTTAATAAGAGTCATCACATGGTGAAATAAGAAATTAAAAGATGTAAACAATTACAAAAAATTATTGCAAAATTGCAAATAACAATTTTTATCAGTTTGGTTTATACGTGAAATATTATTGTATATTGAAAATAAAACAACATAGACTCGGATTATTTTATTTACATAATTCACCGTTAATTGTGGAAAACCCCTTGTTAAGGACAAACGATTTTCAGAATTTCTTATTATGGTTCTACAGAACTGCATGTAATACCAACAAATTTCTTAATATAATAGGAAATAGCCGAGAGTCTTAGAAATAATGCCCTTTATTGAACAAAGTCGTCAATCTCTTAAAATAGTTATCAACAAACAAATCGACCGTCATTAACCGTTAGCGGAGTATTCGAGTTTTGTTGTTCTCCTGAGCTCAATTTTGCGAATTTTTCAATTTTCTTTGTGTC